ATAAATAAAAAAAAAACAGTCGGTTTTGAAAAAAAAAAAAAAAATTCAGGCGGTTTTGAAAAATTGTTCAAAAAAAAGCTGATTGAAAGAAAGAGGAGGTGACGCTAGGGACTTTTGGTATTTTTTTAGTATTTTTTTCTGACATGTTGTCAGCTTTCTGCCTAATTCAGACCTTTTTTTTGTGAATTGTCTTTACCTGCCACATCAGCATAGTAAAGCACTTTACATTATTTTTACAGCTACAAGCAAACACTTGAAAAGGAGGAAAGCTGACAATGGGACCCATTTTTTTACACTTTCCATCATTTTACATGGTAAAAACATACAACCAAACGGCCCCTTAATGAGTTGGTCATCATTAATGATGGCCAACTCATTATCCAAAAGGAGAGGAACACCTTACTTGTCCTCCAATTGGTCTCATATTTTGGGTCCCAGTAGCAAAGCTCATTTGGAATGTTTATTTTCTCACCTAAAAGGTAAACCCATTAAACCCAAATTTAGTACGTTTATACAAAAAGCTATATCTAGCGTTATCATAAACCGATCTATTTATCTATTTATTTTCAACCTCACCTGCCTCGAGTCTTTAAAAAAAATTCCACACAGCCCACATACAACTTTCAATTCAACCGCATTGCCGTGTCCAGCCCATTACCGACCCAGTTCCATTCCGTAGCTAGTCCATCGAACTATTCGGGTTATTATTAACCAATAAATAGTGGAAGTTAAGAACTGGCTTCATGGGTCATAATTCTCTCTTCATTTGAATTTTAAACCAAAAAATCCAACCTATAAGCTTAAATTGACACGACTATAATTACACGTCATGTGTCTTAAGGTAAAGGAACCCCTTCAGCAAGTAGTCCATTATCAAGGCATCTTTCACCTTTAAAACTAAATACTTGTACGAGAATCACCTTTTAATTTTGATTTATATATAAATCACTTTCAAAATAGGATTTTAATATAATCAACAACCTTCCATTTAAATTTTCACTAAAAATCTAAAATAAGCTTAGAAAATACAAGTTAAAGTTATTGTAAGTTGTATTCTAACACTAACAAGAGCTTGTAAGTTGTATTCTAACACTAACAAAAAATTTTGAGTCAATTAAATCTTCACTAAAAATCTAAAATAAGCTTTAAAAATTCAAGTTAAAGTTCTTGTAAGTCGTATTCTAACACCAATAAGAGCTAAATAGTAATGAAAAAAATGGAGTCACGTACCATGAACTATTATTACTAAAAAAGATTACTAAAAAAGATTCGTAAAAAAAAAGTTCCTAGAAAAAAAAACAATTATTATATCTTGACAAAAGAAATGGGACACTATTAAGTGCAAGATGTCAACTTTTGTTTCAAAGCGTACCAATAATCCATTTGAACCCTGTACCTCCTCCATCTGGTATTAAAACTCACTGTGACATCCACATATTTGATTCTGCTCTCAAGTTATGATGCAGTTTCTGCCGTTAGCAAGTAGAAAGTCATCAACAGGACCCAACAATGTTACCACGGGAAGGTATTTGATCCCGAGGTATAATCTGACGGTGTTTTATGTAATTCCTGTTCTCGTGCAAAAGGATTGGTATAACTCCTACCCACAAAAATAGAACAAAGAAAATACTAACTATAAGAGACAAAACAGAAAGTTTAAAGTTCTATAAAATTACTACCCGAATTCAAATACAAACTAAAAACAAAGAGAAAATTAACATCCCACAGAGCTGAGCCAAACCGTCCTGTTGCTTGACACTTTGACAGTAAGAGAAGAGTCTTCCCATATTCCACCATACAGTAAGCAATCATCTGCCAGTAAAAGGGGCAAAAAAGAAAAAAAGAAAAACTATCAAAAAGTTGATAACAAATATACACTTGTATTCAAAAACATTATAATATTTATTTGATCTCTGTCTCAATGCGCGAAAAGTCTGATTGTGTGGATTCTGGCGTTAGCAGTTACAAGGTCTCTACTCCAACTACCAAACTTGCTTGAAGGAGATCCATGAGAGTCATCTAAGAGCAACATTTCATTTCACGTGCATAGCACACGACCGACCGAAAACAAGTAATAAGTTACAGAAATAAACAATCGTGACCGAATCAAGTAGATGCAGGCCAGCTCTTTACAATGCAATGTTTTTTTAAGTTGGACGCACGCTTTACACTATACAACCATCTAATATCTAGCATATTTACAAATATAAGCAGCCCCTTTGCGGGAAGTTATACAATCTTCTCAGTTGACACGTCTCAAGATTTTCTACAGTTGATAGCTTTCATTAATCAGTGACCCCAATCAAATTTGAATTCGTAAAAGGGAATAACAAGTTAAAAAACATTTAAATAGGGAAGTACAATCCTACTAAACTAGAATACTTATATATTTGATGTACAAATTAAACAGAATTCAGAGTTGAAGCTCTACTTCTGATGAATTGTTGAAAAACTAACTAATCCATGGATTTTAAAACTTGATGTTGGCATGAAGTAAAGATGCTCCTTTTGACATCTATCAGAAGTTTTATCAAATCCGTAACGAACCAGTGATGCAAACTAGATTGTTTTATGGCTTAATATCGGATTGTATAGTAACAATTCTTTTTTATTTTATTGTGCCTAAATTTGAGTATAAAATCCTGAAAACCATAGAACAATCAACTTATCTTATGCTCAACAAAACATACTAGGCACAATTCTGACAAGAAAAGAACTTGTCTTTTATCTATAAATTATTAACACAATTAGCCGGCCACATAAACTATTAAGAAGTTCCGTCTGTTTGTTTCCAGTTTCAAAGAATACAATTGAAATCAAAGCCGGCAAGAATAACATTTTTAAATGATAATATTAAACTTCACTGAGTTTACTCTGTTCCAATACAAATTTGATTTAAAACTAACCAAATAAGTTTAACCCGCATAAAGGTTAATGTCAAGTGCAAGGATAATTAACTGGACAACATAATATTTTTATAAATTAAATAAAGCTAAAACACATTCGAGCATCACAAACTTCATCCTTAATCTTTTGCTGAAAACTCCATCAAAGAAAATAATGACAATGATTTCTTACCATCTACTTTCCACCCCAAATAAAAAGATGGGAACGATTTAGTTTACTATCAGCTTTCAATACATATTCCTGTATATGAATTTCCTTCCAAAGAAAATAGTGTATCCCTAATTGATCTGTCTGTTGATATAATTTAAGGACAAACCATGGCATATAATTTAAAATACAGATAAAGCTTAAATTATATTACAACAGAAAGAGAATCTGAAATATGAAGGTACATAGTGACATAACTTTGATTCTTACCCTTGCTTTATTCAGTTCAATATTCCAGCAGCTGATGATTTCAGTAAATTAATAAATTAAACTTGAAATTAGATTTGGGTATTATTATTCATGTCCTCATCTATACTTGTTTGTATCACATAATATATTGGTCAGATTTTGGACCGAAGTTGATTAACGCTATATAAGTGAGTGAGTGAACTAGAATGACTGTGACAATGAAATAAAAATTAATTAATTACAATAAAATTCTCTGACGATGAGAGTGGATCATGCTAATGAACATGACGATCTAGTTAGTACCACTTGACCCTCAAATTATTTGGCAAATAAAATAACATAAATTCAAGTTATATGAGGAGATTTGTACAAAAAAAAGTTGAAAGCAGCACTTATTGCCTTTCGAAGTGTATAAATTTAAGATAGCTATAAAAGAAGCACAAAAGAAGTCACCTTGGTGCTATCACTAACATTTAGCTTTACACACTCTGATCTTTAAGAGTTCCTAGTGTGCCATTACTATATCACTATCACCCTCACCCACCAAAAAATAGGAGCAGTTATTATAGCTGCCGAATTCAAAATGGTAGTCACTTCAAAAAGAAAAGAGAATACAGAAGTTCAACAAGAAATGCAGAATACAGAAGTTCAGGAAGAAATACAGGACAAAGATAAGGAATCTTGAAAATGAAGACTGATTCTACTATGCCTTTGTCATTTAGAGTTTGTAACATAGAGAAGGCAGGTAAGTCCAAAGTTAGAAGCTTTGAAATGAATCCCTAACGATTAAAGACCTACAACCATCACAGAAGAGTTAAAGGGGGGAACAATATATATAAGTCCGCCCTTTACAGCTCATAAGTATTGCTTGATGAAGGAAGATACGTACTACGAATCCAATGCTAGAAGTCCACTTACTGTTAAAATAAGCATATTTGAAAAATGTATCACAGTGTGCAGACAAATGGAAGCGATGGAAACAAGGGAACAAGTCAGAAGCAACTAAAACACTAGAACCCAATTCTTTCCTCCCTAATCCTCTTCCCAGCTATGAACCTATTCCATCACATTTGCTCTGAAGAGGCAATGACGAACCACCTTCTTCTTTTCCTATCCCTCCTCCTTCTAACCAGCCACTCCAATGGAGAAAACCCAACAAACACCACCAGCGCTATTACCATGTACCCCATGCAGTGTTCTAGTCCCTCCCGCAAACCCACATGCAATTCCTTTCTCTATGTTCCATCTGTAGGCCTCCCCTCCTCTGTTGTCGCTTCAGTTTACTCTGCTAATGCAACCCTCATAAGAACTGTAAGTTGTTAATAGTTGCTGTTCTAATTAATTAATATGTCGTATGTTGTCTATTGAGAGAAACTACCATGACTGACAGTTGGTAGAGTATTCCTCCACCTAGACTCCTAGTTTAGAGTAACTTACACTAGGTCAGCCTGACTTCTACACCTCATGGCTAACAGTCTGTTGGCTACAGATTCCTATGCCAAGAATTTTGGCATTAACCATGGTAATCCTAAATTTTGGCCATTTTCAGAAATTCAGACTTGCACTCAGTAGCTGACACTATTCTAATGAGAAAGGTTTTAGATGGTGATGACAAAGGTTTGGAAAGGACTGCAATTATATGAGCAAAATTATCTTTCAATGTACAGGTTTTTCGCCAACCAATGATTCATCCTGACTTTCTGGTGCAAGTTCCATGCGGATGTGAAGACACTGGAACTGGAACTATCGCCTATTTCCACAACACCAAATATAGAGTGCAGCGAGATGACACCCCTACTGAGATAACAACTAAAGTCTTCAATGGTCTGGCATGGAATGTAACCAGTATACTCCAACCAGAACAGGTGATCACAATTAACCTCCTATGCGGGTGTTACGATGGTAATGACCAAGCAGAGGTAGTATCTTATACAGTACAACAAGGGGATACACTGTCTACAATCTCCAGTTTGTTATCTGCTGACTGGGGGAAGATTGTGAGGATGAATGGAGAAATTCTTAAGAATCCAGAGTTTTTGATCCCAGGATGGGTGCTATTTGTGCCCATGGGAACTGCAGTTGCAGCTCCAAATCCAAAAGGTATGGATATATTAGTTTTGTTTGGTACTGACTTTGTGCCGTCCTCTTTAAAAAATTATGTTTCAGAGCATACACTACAAGAAAAAACTTGTTTAATGTACAAAGGGATGTTTATTTATTATACTGAGTGTTGAATATTCTACTGACAGAATAGTTTTACTTCTGGTTCCTGAAACTCATAAAGTGCAACTTGATAAGATGTAAATTCAAGTATGTAAATAGGACTGATCTCCTCATGTAAGGAGGACACTAACAAAAGATAATGATAATAATAAACTGATCATACATAGAGGTCAATTGAATCCTTGTGCTTTCCGGTATGAAAATCTGACATACAGATTAAAAAAACATTTCGGACTTGCTTAGGTTCTAATACTCGGGAACTTATGAGGAGAAATAAGGAAAAAGATAACAAAAGAAGATAGAAGAGAGAATTACAGATATCAAGTGGCATTAGAAGTTTCTAGTTCTTGCCTAAATAGAGCTATGTTGTTGACATACAACTAATAGTCATGCTCATACACCTAATTGATGCAAGAAGAAATCTTCATCTTTCTCAGTTGTTTATCATATCGTGCTTTTTCTATACTTACATTACCTTCTGAAATTCCGACACAGGAAAGAAGCACAACATTGCACTAATTATGGGCATTTCAATATCCATGGCCTTCCTAATAATTGGAGGTTTACTTTTATTCTTATGTCGGAGAAGGCAATCTCGTCAGCAGAAGATAGAGGAAGCAAACAAGGTAGAAAGAAATGCAAGCATAATGAGTATTGCCGCTCTTGAAAGCCAATACCATCCTGCAAATAACATGAAAGGTGAGAGTAAATAGTTATTCCTACTACTTGGGTTAATTTAAGCTTCACAGGATGACCGCATTTTACTCATGGGTATGTGAAGGTTTTGGGCCTACCAACACAGAGAGACCAATAATATTTAGTTTAAAAGATGTCGAGGAAGCAACAACAAGCTTTGACGAGAAACGGAAGATCGGGGAAGGTGGATTTGGCAGTGTGTTTCATGGAATTTTGGCGAAGCAGGTAATAAGAAGCTATGATCATTTATGGTACATACGATCACGAAATTGATGAAAATTCATGAAATCAAGTTGCACAAGCTTAAACTGTATAACCATTTTAGTGATCGGCCTTCCAGGAATTTGATGGCCCCCCTGTTGTCTATACCATATATTTTATATGATCAGCATGTTGCAAAGATTTCTAGGATAGAAGTTCACTTCCTCGATATATAAAAGTTTTAGATATTGACAAGAATATTGTAGAGTTCAAACCAAACTCGTGCCATCATAACATGAGTCTCATCCATATATTACTGCAGGAAGTGGCAATTAAAAAGATGAGGTCCAGCAAGTCCAAGGAGTTCTTCGCAGAGCTAAAGGTGCTTTGCAGAATACACCATATAAATGTGGTATGTTATTTAATTCACCCACTCTTCACTTTCTCCCTGTTAAAAATCAATTAATATCTGGCGGAACTTTCTAAAACTGTCAACCAGGTTGAACTGATTGGCTATGCAAGTGGTGATGACCATTTGTACCTGGTTTATGAGTATGTTCAGAATGGTTCACTTAGTGATCATCTCCATGATCCACTGCTGAAAGGTATCGTGGATACATGATACAACCAGTTCTTGTGTTTATTTGTCTTTGTACGTTCTGCTCTACTATTTTCTTCACTATTTAAAAAAATATTTGGTGCAAGGAGAAACTAGCAAAATTTATTTTCCATATGGATGAAAGCAGGCCATCAACCTCTCTCTTGGAATGCAAGAGCACAGATTGCACTAGATGCTGCAAGGGGAATTGAGTACATTCATGATCACACAAAGGCACAGTACGTGCATCGAGATATAAAAACCAGCAATATCTTGCTAGATGAGGGGCTCAGAGCTAAGGTCAGTATTTCGTGAGTGCTTAACACCACAATATACTCGTATGCTAAGTACGCTTCAGATCCATCTCAAATCTCCATGTTTTAGATACTAAAGACTAAGCATGCTCATCACTTCATCGCTGTTTGGATTGAAGGATTACGGTGTAGGAGTTACCACTTTTCTATTGCGTTAATGTATGTTATATATCTTTCTTTCTTTTTTTTGGATAGTGGGACTATGTTGCTGGAGTTTCAACTTGGTATGAAAAATGTGAATAGTTGACATGCTCAAATAACTCAAGCAGGTGCTAGAGTCACAAACACCAAAAAGATCAGCGATCTTGTAAAGATAACATACAAACCATATATTAGACCAATAAATTGGTCATTGGAAGGATTAAACTAGAGTTAACTCCTGAGTCTAGAGCAATCTGCCATTCAAAAAGCGGCCTTAAGGGTAAGTTGATTCAAGCATCATCACAAGCCACTTTAATAATGCACGATACACACTGTTCATTTCTTAAAATATAATTAAAGTAGGAACAATGTGTGTGCTCTTCTTCGTCCTTCTTGAGTGGCATTCCTCATACTGGTCACTCCAGTCATGTCGATTAGGAGTTGCCTCTTTTAGGGTCTGTGTTTTCAATGGCTGCAGCTTTAATTCCCATCAACTAAGGCTCATTTATTAATTTTCACATATTTAGAGTATCAATGAGCAGATAAATATATCCTCTCTTGCTCCGTAAAGCTTCAAATCAAATGTTCTTCACTATTATATTGTTGAAATAATTATTAGCTTTCAAAAAAGTCTGTAATAGTTGGCATCATCACAACAAATGGCTGGTTCTCCTAAATTCAGAAATTTTAGATACGCTAATCATCCCTCCTGAAGGTTAAGATAAGCTTTTCACTCCTCTTAAGTCTTAACTAAATCACAGGTACAAATGAAAGGAAACAAAACAACATAGTTTCAGGGGTGTGCCAAATCTAACAACTCGGAAGACGTGCTAGAGATTTGATGAAAATCAACCAAGAATATTATAAACATCAACTAAGTAGATCTAGTTACTCTGGTTGCAGGTTGCAGATTTTGGCTTGGTAAAGCTTGTAGAACGTAGCAATGAAGAAGATTGTATGGCAACACGATTGGTTGGAACTCCTGGTTACCTCCCACCTGAGTAATCATGGTTTCTTAATACCATTTTTTTCATTTAACCCCACTTAATATTTCAAGTTAACCAATAACATCATATAGCAATGTACAGGTCAGTTCGTGAACTCCAGATGACCTCAAAAAGTGATGTCTTTGCATTTGGAGTAGTTTTAGCGGAGCTGATAACGGGTTGCCGTGCTCTAGTTCGAGACAACAAGGAACCCAGCAAGATGAAATCACTTATTTCTATTGTAAGTTTTTCTTTTAGTGTTTGGGAAGTGACTGATTTTAACTTATAAATGTGTTTTTCCTTAATAAGGGTCCAATGTCATGTTCGGTGAATTTCACTTATTCACTTATTTTTTCCTTATAAATAGGAAAAAAAATAAATTGGGATTTTCCAACTTATTTTTTTGGCACTTACAAGGAAATTTACTTATTGATGTTAAAAGACTACTTTACCCTAGTAAAAATAAGTATTCAAAATTATGAGGTTTAATAAATTAAGTACTAGCCAAACATGCCTTCAACTCTTAGATTGATTCAGTAACAAATCTGTGATCTCAAGTGTATTTTGATCTTAACTGAACAGATGAACAGAATTTTCCTAGAGGAAGACCCTGAGACAGAGTTGGAGGCCATAATAGATCGAAATCTCAGGGAAAATTATCCAGTGGAGGAAGTCTACAAGGTAAAGCAATCCACTGAAAACTATTGTTAATCGTTACTTGATATATTTACTTGTGGAAATCTCTTATTGCTAATGACAAGTCTCGTCCATAATAAGTTCAGATGGCAGAGATCTCCCTATGGTGTTTGGATGAAGATCCAGTGAATCGGCCTGAGATGAGAGAGATCACGGTGAAGCTTGCTCAGATTGTTATGGCTTCAATAGAATGGGAAGCATCACTTGCAGGCAACAGCCAGGTTTTCAGTGGCATTTTTAATGGGAGATAAAAAGCTATGAACCATTTGATATGGAAACTGCTCCTCGTGTCTTTAATGAGTGTTCCCCAACTCCTCCCCCACATAACCAATTTTCCCCTAAAAGATGTAAATATATATATATACATCAATCAGATGTGGTCTAGGCCCACATAAAAATAAAATGGATCATGTTCAAGTCAGATTTATGTAAATTCAATATAACAATATGCTTATGTAAATTGGCTTTGGTAGCTGACTTAGCTCTGAGAAATTTTCCCAAATTTGGCCCCTCTTCCTCTGTTTCTATTTTCATTCTGCAAAACTATTAGAATTCAATGATTCAATCTTAGCCAATATAACAAGCATGCAAACGCTCATCAACTCTGCTTCTAGACAGTGCATCTCATGAGCAGTGTTCTAAAAAATGGGCTAGGCCACTTAAGTTGTGCAACCTTCAGGCGGCTTTGATCAGGCAAGTGCCTAGGTGCTAAGAGCCAATCTGGTATTGTTGGACATCATAATAAGTTGTTTATATAAGTAGCCAATAGAAGCAACTTATATAAGCTGCTGAAAATAATCATTTGCTAATTATATATCAATAGCTATTTCCAAAAGCAGTCAAGATGTTTGGCAAAACTACGCTTAAAGATCATTGTCAAAAGATGAAGGTCATATATGGTATATAAACAAAACAATACTGAAGCTGCTTTTAGAAGCATCCTTAGGATCTCATTAATAAAACAAAGCATTTTGAAATTGCTTCTAAAAGGACCCCTTGAAAGCAAAAGCAATTTCAATAAGCATGCAAAAAAATTCACCAAGCACAATTACTGATTGCTTCTCAAAAAAATAACTAGAAGCACTTGGAAAGCAATACCAAACTGCCCCTAACTACCGCGTTGATGAAGTTCTAGAGCAACTACAAGCTGATCTCTTCACTTCCGGTCAGTTGATCAGTTGATTTGCCAGGTTTTACAATTCTGTTGGATGATATGATGTAGAATGCTGTTAATTTGGTGAATAGGGTACAAAGTGGGGACTACTTTTATGTAGGAAAGGTGACAGAATAGCTGCAGACACAGGGCTGCTGCAGACTTCTGTGTGCACAAAGAATTAAGCAGGAGATTTCAGATCAGTTTAGAAAGATGGAAACTTTGTTAGATTTTAGCTATCGTTGGGTCAGATTAGGGTTTTCCTGATATAGTTTTGTAACTGATATAGAGAAGAAGTCAAGCATGCTTGGTTGAAAGTTTGAGATGATCTCTTATAGAAAATCAATGGAAAAACAAATAGAAAAGAAAGATAAGATAATTAATAAGATTTCATGCTTATATAGATTTTACACCAAAATCATAACTCATAATATGAAAGCTGAGAGGAAAGTGCATGAAAACAATATTTTTCATCCAGCCTATAGCTAGCGAATGTCCCTAGAAAGGTCTAAAAGGTTCCATCGAATTCAAGAGCTCAAAACTGTAATATCCCTAATTTTTCTATTGATAATAAGTCTATATTATGAATATTAAGTTACAAAGGACTCTTATGCAAAGAAAAAAAATAGTAACTATAGTAACATATTTGTATTTGTTAAGGGGCTTGCTGCAAAAGAAGATTTGATGAGGGGTTTATGGAAATATTAGCACATAATATATAAAGAGAACAAAAGAAGATTAAGTAAACCCTAACCTATGTCTAAGTGTGGCAGCCACTAGAGAAGCTACGATTGGCTTTAAAAAAAAGGAGGAAGCTTTTGTTCTGGCTTTTGTTCTGACTTTTGACCGTGAGAAGCTTTTGAGAAAATAAGAATACGCAGACCGGCGATCAAGCTAGTGTTTAATCAAAGCACAAGGTATTATCCTTTTCTTTTCTTTCTTTAATAATTAGTTCATATTACGACTTTATTCATCCTAGGTTGTTAATTTATTCACTTCTTGATCCATCGATTTTGTTTGGCTTATTTGTTCATGGTGCCACCAACCATACAAATTCCCCTAGTTAACTACAATAATACCTAGGTCAGATGTATACTTTGTCTGATCCAGACCTATAGCATGTCCCCATCCTTGTTTTTTATAAAATAAAAAAATTGGTATGCATACAACGCTTGACCGTGGCTATAGGGTACAATAGGATATGTTGATTGATTTTAGTATAGTTAATTAAATGGTGTATGATAAGTTAGTATATCCTAAAATTATTTGTATAGGCGTTCGGGTCGTAGATTATACGCTAATTTTGAAGGTTATTTGTATATATTATGAAGGAATCCCAAGTGACTCCGAGGAGTCGTTGTGACTGGTACTGTGATAGTCTTTCATGTTTGTGTAAGTGGTGAATTTATGCATTTTATGTTGTGTATTTTTCATATAAAATTATATCAAGTATATGTGGATTTGTTCTGCATGGATTATAACATTTTGTATGTTTTACCCATATATAAGTTGTTGATTGGATTGTATTTTCTGATGCACACAGATATTTTGGTACAAGCGTATGCTTATTTCTCTTAAATTTAGTTCCTCTAACCATTACACCAAAACTTCGAAGTTATGATGAGGATCAAGGATTATAGTTTTATATTAATTCTAACATGCACTCGCAGGTCGAGCGCCCTTTTTTATGGGTCGAAACCTGGACTCACGTAGCGGTGTCAATTTTTAGAAAATCCGCATTTAATTCGTGGCCGGTGGGATTTGAACCTGGGTTGCTCTGATACCATCTTAAATTTAGTTCCTCTAACCATTACACCAAAACTTCAAAGTTATGATGAGGATCAAGGATTATAGTTTTATATTAATTCTAACAATTTCTTTGTTGACAATCATGTCTTATCATATAGTAGTAAGTTGAGATACATATGTGATTGATTAATTTCACTATTGATTGGCCTTTGGCAATTCTTTATAAATTATTTAGCTATATGAATTTTGTTCATTTTTTCTTAAAACATATGCATCTCAAGTCAATATGCTAGTATATGTCGAAGATAAGCAAATTATCAAAACATGGCTCAATGTGCCTCTATGAGGTTTTATTTTGGCGCTAAGAACCCAAATTTGGGTCTCACCGTCCCGAAACCATGGGCTTAATAATTGTAGGGTTTATCGAGTCAACCGGAGTATGAAGTGTTGATCACATTAAGACGTGACTTGCTTATTTCCAATTCATGTTTTTTAAGTTTTTAAATATTTGCATCAAGTACTAGAGTTCATTGATAATTCTATATTATTTTTATATTTTGCTTATCATTTGTCGAAATATTTGAGTTTTTTGCAAAACCATGTGTTCAATGTATGAATATATCCATTTATTGAGTTGTGAACTCATTGTGTTATATTCATCCAAAAAGACTCAGGATTAGATGGAGTTGGTGGTTCCTAAGTTATTAGAAGGGAGCAAGGAATAAAACTTGCATATTGCTAAAGTTGAATAAAGTCTTTCGATATGTAGTTTATAATTGGAAGCTTTGTAGTATTGGAATATTTACCTTTAGATTGAGTTTTATTTCATGTTGAGAAATATTTGTTTATCTCAAGTTAATTGGATTAATATTGACTTTTGGATTATGGAGAATACTTTGTTGTTGGTTTTAATTCAATGATGAGATTGTTTTGATGGTCTTTTGATGAATGTAGATTCTTAAGAGGATATTTTCACAGGTTTAGTCCAACTCCAATATTCCTTTTAGGTTCGAAAATTGGGGTAGTGACAAAAACAGACTCTACATAGACATCAAAAATACAGAAAAATCTTAAATTGCAATGCAACAACAACAAAGCTTTATTCCTAAATTTTGGGTACATGAATCATATTCTTCCATTTACTTCTATTTTGGGTCATCTCCTCAGTTAAATTTCAAACTAAAATAAAACTACTACCTAATTATTAACTCAAGAACTAAAAACGTAGATATTGAATCTAATATAAATTTCTCTTTATATTTTCTACTATGTTGTTACTCTTCATCAAGTCTCTCCAGAATGATCTTCCGATGGATTTAGATGACAATGTGGTTCAAAAAGATCCAAATAGTTCTTGAAATACCAGTGTGTAATTATTAACACAGCCTAGGGTGCACTTGACCTTATGAGTTGCATTAATCTTATAAGCAAGCTATGTATACAAAGAACTTGTCATGTGTTTAGTATCTCAGTAAGTGAGAACTGCCTCAGCTTGAAGGCAGAAGCAATGACAATTTTTCAACCCCCTACAACTGCTGGTTGGAAGTCCAGGCAGAGTTAAATTAGCCACTTGTAGAGGACATGACAAATCCCATTGATATCAGAGTGAGGTGGCTGTTTTGAGAGTTTGACTAGATTAAGAGATCCTTGCTTGAATCAGTGTCCAAGTGCAGTTGGAGCCAGAGAACCTTGTAGCAAAGGAATCCCACTTTTGAATAATCTGTTTCTATCAATATCAAGTTGGATGTTTGGATCGGAATTCACTCTAATGTCAAATCTAATACAGGACAAATTAGATACTTATTTCTTTGTATCGGATCTCTCAGTTTACAAAGTTTCAGGGTTTCGTTGAATGAACCTTGGGATGATATAATGTGTAGAAATTCTTTTTACTGTGGTGGCGGATTAAGGTTATAAAGATGAGGAAAGGTGATCAACAACAGCAGGTAAAGGGTCGCTGTAGAATCATGTGCTAGATCAGAGTCATTAGACAAACAACCAACATTAGTTTAGGATGGGCTCAAGGAGGAAATGAAGGTCTGAAGTCTGAACTTATCTCCACTACTTATCTCCACTGATATTGGGTTCGGACTTCAAATTAGGATTTTACTGACCCGGTTTTGTGATTGATGTAGGGGATTTAGTAAAGGTGTTTAGCTGGAGGTAATAAATTAAAGTTAGAGATTGTTTCTGGTGAAATATCAGGGAAAACAAAACAGAAAGACGGAACAAGATCTGGTTCTTATTCATGTATGGATTTACATTCAAATCAGAAGCTAATCACAGCGAAGTTGAAAGAGCAATACACTTATTGAAAACGATATTTCTGAATTGAACAACCCAACCTATCCGCTGCCAACAGCCGCAGAAATATCTATTAGAGTCGGATAATGAAATTACGAGAAAAAAAAATGGATGCAAAATCAAGTCTAAACATCTAAAAATGGAAAATATTTATCAAAAACAAATTAAATAGTACCTAATCATCAACCCAAAAACCTAAGTTATTAACCACAAAAATCTAATATGAATACTCTCTTCTATATCTTCTATTTGCTTACTCATCAGGTTCCTAATTCTAGTATATTCCTGTGGCATAACCAAATAGATAATTTGTAGGCCACGAATAAGTGGGCATAACCGTGAACAAAAGCCAAATAGTTAAGACGAATAAATAAAGAGATCAGTACAAGTAGCTTACTAAAACTATGTAACCAACACCCTACCAATCCCCGAGGCTACCAAAACAATATTAAAACCTGCTGGTTGTATGTTTCAAACCGTACCTTTCTTTAAGCAGATAAAACTGAAAGAGGATAGGATAGGTGAACTTTAGTCATTGTGCAGGATTAGCTTTGGCAGCTGGCGCCGCCTCATTCAATTTTGATGGATTGGGTATCCAAAATGCAAGTGCTGTGGAGGCAGCGGCAAACATGGATCGACGTGGGGCCCATTTTAAGCAGGTTACAGCACCAATATGACTGTTCCAAGAGGCAACCTGCATAAACAAAGTATGGTGAAGGTGGCATTTGCCTCTAGACTCATGAAGACATGTCTACACGATAACAAATTTGAGTTTGCTGCAGAATTAGATTTGTTTTAAGCGACTTCCTCGCTTATATAGAGAAATTTTATTTATGTTGTGACATGGAAAATTCTTGTCGGATTACAGGTTTCTTTTTGTTGAAACGTCTTGTTTTGGGTCTTGACGCTTCATTGGACAATCTTTGAAATACGGAGACTCTTGTTGAATTATTCTTAGAGCATCCGCATTCTGTCAGCACTGCTTTAATGAGTCTCTCGCAAGCGCAATGAGACTCATTTTCTCGGACAGTCCTCTTTCTCGAGTTGTTTTTCTGATAGTACAGCTCATCATTATTGTGATTCGAGCAACCTATCTTTCGCTTTTGAACTTTGTTAACATGCACAGGACGACTGGTCGTCGCCTCTGAGCGATCCAAAGTTGAATGTTTAAATCCACCCCCTTGCGGGTGTGGAGTTTTCAGAGGTCCTAAACGAGAGTGAACTGGTATTCTCTCGTTTTGGACTTGTGCAGTTCTGACAGGAGGGTGTTTACGACCCCCTGCATATGAAACCATTAATGGTTTATTTGCCGGACATGGTTGTTCCTTGACTGGGGCTTTGCCTCGATCAACTGAAGGACCAAGGCGATCTGCCATTGTTATCTTGAACTTGGACTTTGGCATCCAGACTCTGCGGTTCTTCGGTGGCTTTTCAAACACCGTCTCCTTCTTGGTTCCTTGTGCTTGTTGACGGAGAGCATGAGCACGGGCGGCCTTCGCTTTACGCCTTTGTATCCGTTCCTTGAGGGTTGAACGGGCCCTTTTGACGAGAGTCCACTCCTCCGTCGTAAGTTTTGCAGAAATACAATTATTTTGCCGTTGAGACAATTGAACTGCTTTCTGTTTCCTTGACTCTAGGTCCGCATAGTAATGGATCCCGTCGGTTTGTTGCATGGCCTTAGCCAATTGTCGAGCGCGGCGCTGACGCTGTCTCTGACGAGCCCTTTTTGTCAGCACCGGTGAGCTATTCATCATCGACTCCTTAAGGGGTGTGGAGTCGTTTGAAGCAGGGATGTCGCAGGCGGATTCCTTAGCAGCAATCGGGTGGGAACCTTCACCTGCGGCCTTCATAGGCATTGCAGACTTAAACATTTTCTTGGAGGACGAAATCTTCCTATATTTGCGAGACGAGGAAGATTTCGCGGATGAGGACGACAAGTACTCTTCAAACTTCGCCTGATCGAACTCATATTCGATCTCTTCATTAACGATGATCTTGATCGGTTGCGACACCGCGACCTCGGCAGCGAGGCTGCTGGCTCCCACTGTGGTCGCCAGCTTGTTTGAGTCAAAAGTCGGTGCTGTTGAGGAATTCATTATAACTTTGTTCGATTACAACAAATTCGAAAGAATAATCTTTTTATAAGACTTTTTCTACACAACAAAGCGAAAATTACAACTTTTGAGAAACAAACACAAAAATCGTCTATCGATCTTTGTTTTCGTGGGACTTTGCCTGTGCCGGGAACGCTTTGGTTCGTGGACCGCCGATTCACAGATCGTGAAGAGGGGGCTTATGATTCTAACTTCGTTATCGAAGTAGAAATTGAAACGATATCTTATCGAAGTAAGATAGTCGTTCTTCTTAAAATCAAGTCGAAGCTTAATTTCAAGGCGTTGCAAGAAAAGAACCCAAATCTCTGCTCTCTCTGCTCTGGAATGCTCTAACAAATGCTCGATCCTCGTCAGAAGTGACCCTAGGGGGGTATTTATAGCCTCTGGGGTCTGTAACTGTAAAAACTCAGCAATCGAAGAAGTTAGCACGGCGAGACAGTGTTTACTGTCTCGCTGGGCAAGACAGTGTTTGCTGTCTCGGCCCGCGAGACAGTAAATTTGCTGTCTCGCCTAGCGAGACAGTAAATACTGTCTCGGAAAACGACAGTTTCTCGCTGTAACTGTTATCCCACATTTCAAACTCCGTTATTTTGGCAGTTATCCACATGCTTTTCGCCCACGATGTTTCCCACGTCCTTTGGTAGTTAATAGACACGTGTAGGGCAGTTAAAAAGTTGGTTATGACCATTTCAACACTGTCTCGCTGGCGAGACAGCAAATACTGTCTCGCTGGCGAGACAGCAAAGCCTGTCTCGCTGGCGAGACAGCAAACACTGTCTCACTGGCGAGACAGCAAACACTGTCTCGCTGGCGAGACAGCAAAGCCTGTCTCGCTGGCGAGACAGCAAAGCCTGTCTCGCTGGCGAGACAGTTCATACCTGCTTTGATTTTCTTAAAGCAGTATGAGGTCCCTTTGAGTGATTTTCTCTATGTCTGGGATATCTATTAGCATTTTTTGACGCCTACACTAACGAACGAAGAATAGATCCAAAACTGAAAAGATAAAGTTTTTACCAAAAGATCCCACATTTATCACCAAACAAAGCCCTAGACGAGCTTCCAAAGCGATCTACTCATCCAAATAGCCCAAGCGTAGCCCGAGCTCTGATACCACTTGTTGTGCGTAGTGAAAATTTCGGCAGAGTTTCTGGTGCACAATAAGAGAAAAAGATCCCAATAAGAATTCTCGTCTCACCAAGGAAACAAGAATCTGAAGCGAATATCTCAACAAAGTGAGATATCAGCTCTTTCTCTCATCAGTTCTAGGACTGACTTATCGAGGGATCCTAAAAACTATTACAATGGCCATAAACACAAACAAACTAATTTTACGTGGTTCGGCAAACTGCCTACGTCCACAGGGCAAGGGGGGATCTACTATTAGAGAGAAAAAGAATACAAATAGGTTTACAATTCTCACAACCTAAACCCTCAAATAGGCTCATTGCTTTTCTTCTCAAGAAAAGGTCAGCCTCCAAAAGCCTTTTTCTCTCTTCACAAAACCCTAGGATTTTTCCCTTGCTGCAGCCGCCAAAAAGAAACCTCTGCCGCTTTTCTTTTCTGCTCCTGCTCTTGCACACGAAGCCGATAAACTTTGCTGCCTTCTCCCCAATGATTTTGCACGGCCGCCAATGATTTTCCCCCTCTCAATTGCACACGAAACCCTAGGGTGCAAGCACCTATTTATAGGCTATGATTAGCAGCCCAAAATCCGAACTCGTGCTCACGCGGAAAGGCCCACGAACTCCACGAACTCACGCGTAAACGAACTCACGCGTAAACACTTCGTAGGCAACAGAGCGTGGGTGGCCCCCACACCCCATGTGATCACAATAACTAATGATTTTTGGCCAATTTAAGTTATTTCGACCCATTGGCATATAATTTTGTAGAGTCAAAAACTCATGATTTCGTGAGCTATATAACTCATGATTTTTTTAGCCAGTTTTTATCATTTTGACACATTGGCAAAAAAATTAGATTACCCCAAAAGAAATTTCTAGGATCGCTGGTGGTTGAAACCCTAACCCTAAGTTTACCTGAGAAGCCAAATGCTAAGTTCCCACGGTTCAACGTATAAATATATATAACAAAGCTTTTTCTCCGAAATGTTTGAGATCGCTACGTGGACTCTTTGAGAAAAATCTCTGCTCACTATAATTCAACAGTTAATTATTATCTTATAGGAAATTAATATTATAACTACAGAAAACACTTCGAATAAAAATTAAAAATTCTTATTATGCCTTAGTGAATCAAACAAAATTCTTTCTAGAACAAAATATTAACGTGCGGTTATGTAGCCTACAATAGACACCCAACTGTCAAGAAATATAAATTCTATTAAATTACATTTCGTCAGTTATCAGTATATTAGAAACAAAGTTAATATATTTATAATTATCAATTCCCACGGGAATAGTCAAGGCATAGTTGTTGAGATGGCCGAGTTGGTCTAAGGCGCCAGATTAAGGTTCTGGTCCGAAAGGGCGTGGGTTCAAATCCCACTCTCAACATTTGAAAGGTATTTTTTTACCCATTATTTTTGTTTTTCATTTTCAGTTCATTTCAAGACACCTAATTGCTCGCTCATGTGGATTTCAGAGAATTTTTCTCCCACTTTCTTTTATTTATTGTTGGGAATTAGGGAGTCCGCTCTTACCCAAATTTATGTTGTTTCCGGAGAAAAATATGATCATATCTAACCTGAATATCTGTGCACCGTTACATACTTACATTCATTTGGCTCCAAACTCCATTAAACAATAATAATCAATGATATATATGCATGATATGATGCCTTGCGTTTGATTTTCCTCTTGTCATCAACTGGGAGTTGTTCATGTGACACATATGTGACCGTATCTAACCTGAATTATTCGAAATTTTTTTCACTGAATGAATATGTTTTTTAGATCAACTTCAGATAAGTTGACAATTCAATATATAAATATATGTTTATCTATAATCAAGAATCAAGTCTGAAACTGCCATCGGTGGAGGCACAGAGAAGTAGAACTTTATGGCTCTCAACCGCATTCATTTTGAAGAATTCCGTTCAGAACCGAGATCCTTTCTGACCTTCGATGGTTAAATATGGATAAACTGAAGAAGGATGAAAGAAGTAACGAGCAAAATAATGCCAAAAAATTCCATGAAAGTACAAAGTTATGACACAGAATCTGAATCCAATGTAAAGACGGTAAAGATAAGTCAATTAATTATATAAGTATTTTCATTGTATGATACGTCTTTGAAAAATTAACCATGTCTCAAGATTATGACACAGAAACAACACAAAGTAATTAAAATACACTAATTCAAAACTTACCAGCGTACATCACTAAAGGGTAATTTTTTTTCCTCAAAATAAAATTCAACCTAATCAAGCTTTCATTCTAACTTATGCATGCAATTCTTTCCTTGCGATAATTTTCTTGCAAAGTTGACACCTCTTATAGCCATTTGAGCAGCAATTAAGAAGGTCTCTGCTGCCTCAAATTTCTTCCCATTTTATGCTTTTCAATCGTTGTTCCAATGCATACAGAGCAACTGCATAAGTATTTGCAAATTTTAATAA